AGATGGGACAATTACAGCTAGGCCTATAGCGGCAGCTAGCTTGGGACCAAAAGGGCCCCATATGTGGAATGAAACATCAGTCGCAATTACATTTGTGTGTCTTTCTCATCTATCCTTCCCTGTATTCCTCATTTCCACCCTCCTCCATCTAATCCACCTCCCCCACCCCACAACCGCCACCCTCCTCCTTCCTCTCATCTGCCACTAGGCAAATTAAGAGGCTCTCTATCATGACCCAAATGAGAGAGGCTCATTTGTAGCAGTTATTTATTTGTAATAAACTCTCTCCCCAGTCATCTCCTCAGCTCTGCTCTCTCTCTACCCTCCACTCTGGAAACATGGCAAAAAAGAAAGAGAAAAAGCATCTGAATGCTGCTGGGGATACTCCCCCCCCCCATTCAAACACTGTCCATTATCATTTGAAGACTAAAATGAATGTTTAAAATGGACATTTTCCCTCCGTGATCTCATTCTTTCTGTCTTCCACTACCTCTTCTCCTAATTCCCCTGTCCTCCCCCAGCCTCACCTCCCGCCACTGTCCACAGATGAATGTGTTTCCCCTCGGCAGCAGCAAATAGGCCACGGATGAAAATGCCATATTTAATATAAATAGGTGGTGCTCACTTATGTACTGTCTCGCTCACACACACACACACACACACATACACACACACACACACGCCAATGCTCCCCAGCCACCTCAGTAAGACAAAGAGTCTTTGGCTGAGCATCTCCCGTTTCCCATCCCATTATCTGTTTTCTAAAACTCAATAATTGAACTGTTCCAATGGAATACATCATCTGGCCCACTATCACAAAATCCCATTGAATAAACTTCTCTCCCTGGCTATTGTGCTTGAGCATGACATGTTTTTTCTTTCCGTCCTCCCTTTATCAGATAGGCTGTATAACTAGCGTGGTATTTGTCCAGGCGCAAGTAATGACTGCAATTTGCTGCTATTTGATGTCCTGTAAGGGGCCTGGGCCTTGTAATGGTAGCATTATAATAGTTACCAGGCACAGGTTACTATTACCATGTTATGAATCTGCCATAAGCTATTGTGTCCAACTGTACATTAGAGTGACACAGGAGGAGGATATGTACAGACTGCGAAAGAGATGCTGGGATTACTGACATCTAGTTGCAGTATTTGCTGTTTGTATTAAAGCTGTCTAGGGATGTAATGTGCAATTGGCTCATATAAGGAACGGAGTTTCCCAGTCCTGCATTTATAAGTTAGACTGCAATTATTTGCAAACCTTCACCAATCTGTCTGACAGTGGTTGCAGTGAGCTTGAGTCATGCAGGAATTATTTAGACAGATCTTTTTGCCAAAATCACCGGTCGCCCAGAGGTGAAGGGTGTTGTATGGTGAACCTCTGGGTGACCGGTTGGTTGCTTCAAATACTCGCAGTCGGTCACCAAATGTGAAAAATTTCAGTGCAGTCACCTGGCAACCACAGATTTTTTCTCCAGTTTGCAAGGAGGTTATCGTCCCATTTTTACTGTAGTATGACTGAGCCATGAAAATATTAAAGGATAGACCTGACACTCATGTAGGGTTCATCAAAGCAGATTGAGTTCATTGTTAAGTTGAGACAGACACACTGTTTTCCCCATACTATCTACAACTTGAGCAGCTCCTACCCAAATGCTCTTCTGGTGGTCATCAGAGGCTGCTTTGGGAGGTGAGAATCATGTGAATGGGGAAGATTTTGAGCAGCAGAAGGTGCTGTAAGCAGAGCAACAGAGAGTACAGGAAATTGGGATTTTTAAAAAAAAGTATGTTGACATTAAAACCAACATATGCAATCATGTCTGATCAATCATGCGACAGCTGTTCAAGAATAAGACATTAAAAGAGCATGATTCAACATTTGAAGTTTAATAAGTTGAAAAACGGTAGGGTTTCTTCTTTGAAGCTTTTTCCACTGCTGCGTCTGCAGCTGCCATTAGAATTCATCCTCACCACCTTCCAGCTCACCTGGTGTGCCTCCTGCCTCTGCAGTGTTATTGATGTCGTACCTCGCCTATCTGAGGAAGCAGGAGGTGTGCATGCACGTTCTCGTGTGTGAATGCATCCTGGGTGGTCAGTGATGTATTTAAGAATTTAACAACTGCCCCAGAAAACTTGTCTCAAACTCTCAATTTAGTCCAGAGAGTAACTTTCTCACTGGCGTGTGCTTGTGTGTGTGTGCTTGCCTGAGGCAGTTTCCTGTCTGCCAATCTACCTGTCACTGCCAAACAGCATCCAGTAAGTTCAGATAAAATACACAGATTCTGATACGCTGCAGATTACGGATTTATAAAAGAAAAAGATTAAACCTGAATGTGCACAGGTGTGATTAAAGCATTTTGCAAGGGATAATTAGTCAATTTCTTCTACACTTTGGGTATAATCCAGTGTAACTTGTCCTTCCCGATTATCTTGCAAACAGATGGTGAAGGCAGCAGTATACAACATGCATGTTCAATAATAATTGCAGCCATCTGTTGACTTCTCAATGCTAATTTCTGCAAGTTTCACCGTGGCCTGATGTTCAGATACATCTTCAGTTGCGCTTTAAGAGACTGATACATTTGGACAATGTTGTTTGATGTCCTTGTTGATAGAGAAGTTCCCCAGTTCCTATGCAAGAGATCAAGTTTCATCTTAGTGCAGTCATGCAGAGACACAAATGGCAGCTACGACAGATTTAGGAGACAAAAGGAGTAATCCTCGATGTTTATCTTAATGGTGTTAAGTACAGTACCACAGTATCATGCATTTGGTTATTGCTTATTTTTCACTGGAGTGCTGCACAAAGCTGGTTTATGTAGTTTTTGGAGCAAGTGACAGACAGCCTAATAAAAATGTAGCTGCAGAAAAGGCCTTACAGCTTTACGCTAGCTAATTTTGAATGTCTGTGAAGGTTCTCAGTCATCCAGGTCATCGTAGTCAAAGGAGCTTGCAAAGAAAAGCGTCTGGACTTCTTTAAGTTCCTTGAAGAAGTTTTAACCTCTCATCTCTCTAGGAGTGAAAGAAGCCATCTATGTCCACTGTGGGGCGACCATCTTTGAACAGAGGCGGTGGTTTACGACACCAACTCTGCCATCTATAATCCAGTTTTGAGATCTCTTCCCAGACGCCTTAACGCCCACTCACATCCTGGGCTATCTGATCTCAGGAATTCGCATGATAAGGTGGGGCCAGGTTTCACAATGAACTCACCCGAAACTCTGGCTGATTGGGACCCACACCCAGTTTCACACATTGGCTCAGGCGATTAGAGGATCATCAGGGGGTCCTTTTGTCCCTCTGTGGGGGGTTACTCCCACTAGGTTTATATCTGGGACTCTCCACCATTTGACCTTAGAACTGAAGAAGCTTCTCGGATGAGAGGTGAAACATCTTCAAGCAACTTAAAGAAGTCCAGACGCTTTTCTTTGCAAGCTTCTTTGACTAATTTTGAATGTACACCCATTAGTTTGGGAGAGTTGTAAGGGACTCGATAAGAAAAGAATCGTCAAAATTAACATAGTAAAGACAAAGACAGACAGACTTAATGTGGGTCAAGGCAAAAAAAGGCTGCAACCTACACTAATTCACCATGATTGCTTCTTTGCTTTAAACACACTAAAACTCTGTAGCTCCCATTTAAGTCTAGAGCACTATAGCCAAAAGAGGATTGCTCTCTACTGCAGTAATTCATATTTGGTGGAATGAAGCCTGGATTATACTCAGCTGCAGACACGGACAGCTCGAGCCCCGATGACCGAGTAGTCATTACCGTTGCACTTCTTTGAAGTCTGCTGCCTGGACATATGCATAGTTGGTGCATTGTAAAGTGAATTCTCTGCGGATGTGTGCGTGGACCTCGCACTCACTGTCTGATCTTGAAATTTACATCACATGAACCCAAGAGGACCCTAGCGGACTCAGAAAATATAAAACCTGCTTGTTTTTTTATTCTGGGACTTTCCTGCCTTTCCATACCCAGATAGGAAAGAGCATAACGCAGGAAAGGCCCACCTCACTGCCCTTCTAGAGCAGTGGCAACATGTGTCATACAAGCTTGATTGAGTTAGATACAGTATGATAAGGAAGGGTGGGGTGGATGTGGTTTGCAAAGTGCTTGCACAGCAACTGTAGGCAGGCGAGTACCTAGTGCACCCTATATGAAACTTGTCAACTGGCAATTTCGAATATTTTTAGCTGAGATAATCCTAGTTGAAGCCAAAAAAATGAAACTCTTGGTCAGGCTAGAGGAATTCTTATGCGATTGCCACATCAGCAGGTTGATTTCGACCCTTTAGCGTCAAATTCCACAACAATCCATCCAGTATTGATCCTCCACTACCCAACCAAACGACGACTACACTGACGATTGCACAAAGCAATGTGCCTAAACTTGCTATATGTGTCTAGTTATAGCTCGTCATCATAGGCTGAACAGCAGTCTTTATGGGGAGTGTGAATCTGATCTTGATGATCAGATTAGCACCTCTAATCCTGAGGGGCTAAGCTGATTTTTGATGCATACAATCTGCGCAGTGCTCTTAGATCTTTTTGCTTTGAATAAATTGCAACTGAGTTTTATTCTTCGGCGCGCGACAAGGAGAAATTATCAATGCCTAAAAATACACAAATTGTTTGCTTGCATCAGAACTGTGGGCAGCACAGAGTATATGTATTATAGAGATAAGTTCTTCAGAGGGTGTGTTTACATGTTTGTAGACCTCTACTTTTCTCCCTCTAGCTACCTTTATATGCAGCAGTATGGAGTTGTAAGCAGCACTTTCAGAGCTGTTTATCTGTGATAGTCACAGTGGGCTTGTTCCTTTAATCTCATGTTCCAGACACAGGACACCTCCAGTAGATCCTGTTTATACCAACCCTATATAGTACAAGCTGTTTGAAGGTGATGTAAACAGGGTTTCTGTGCAGCTTTAACCAAGTGTGTTTGCCGAATGCGTGCTTATGTGCGTGTTTTTTTTTTTTCTCCGTCTTCTTCCTAGGTCACCCGTGTACCAGTGGAGAGCTGTGAGCAGTACACTTCCTGTGGAGCCTGTCTGGGATCAGGAGACCCTCACTGTGGCTGGTGTGTGCTGCATAATGTGTAAGTGCATACTCTTTACTGCGTCGTATGTAGTTGTTCCGGTGGTTGCTCAGTGGGTGTTCTGCACTTAATTACAGTCTGTCACTTCAACAGAGTTGTGAGTTCTGCCTGTTTATGCTCATGGTAACCACATTATGTGAACCTGTTTTGGCACTGCATTTGTCAGTGTGTTCTAACACAACAAATGCCGTGATTTAACACCTTATATAATGACTTTCTTTTGAAAATTGTATTTAGATAAGTTTATCTGTTTTTCTTGGATCAATAATTGACAAAAAATGTGTCACTCAGTGTCACCTACACTGAGGCTTAGACCTGTGACTTATTCATAAACATGGTCTGAATGCTCTCATTTTACTATTTTACTATAAAGCAACACTTTGAAAGCACATCAGATCTCGGTGGGGAATGTGTTATCAACCCACAGGTAATGGTAAATACTGAACAATATTACAAATTACAACATTCTCCAGACCCTGTCACGTCTGTCACATGTGCTCAGGGTGAAACTGCTCTCATCTGTGAACAGCACAGGGCCCAATAGAGGATGTGGGGCCCTCAGGCCACCCTCATGAAGTCTGTTTCTGATTGTTTGTTCAGAGACTTTCACACCAGTGTCCTATTAGAGGTCATTTTTAGAGCCTTGGCAGTGCTCACCCTGTTCCTCCTTGCACAAAGGAGCAGACACTGGTCCTGCTGATGGGTTAAGGATCTTCTACGGTCCTGCCCAGCTCTCCTAGATTAACTGTCTGTCTTGTGGAGTCTCCTCCACAATCTTGACACTGTCTTGGGAGACACAGCAAACCTCCTGGCAATGCCATGTATTGATGTGCCATCCTGGAGGAGTTGGACTACCTGTGCATCCTCTGTAATGTCCAGGTATCGCCTCACACTACCAGTACTAACGCTGACCCTAGTGAGATGAGGAAGGAAGAATGTCGAAGAATGAAGGAAGAATTTGTTAATGAAATTAACACCAAAGCAGCTAAAACTGATTAGCAACCCTCTCGTCTACTTAACTGACCAGATCAATATCCCAGAAATTTAATTGACTTGATGCTAAACTCTTGATTAAATGTGTCCCTTTAATATTTTTTGAACAGTCTATAATGTGTTGAAGGAAAAGGTTATTGTAGCTTTGAAGAGTCTCTCCTTCCATTCACTCCTGGTGTTGTAATTATCTGTACATCTGGCAAAGGAAGTCAAAATCTGACTACTTTCTCACCTTTCCCCACCTGGCTAGTCAAAAACAGACCTTTAGATTCCAGCATCCTCAAACTGGCCCCCCACAGCCTACATTAGCTTCAATATTAAACTCATTTTCTGAGGATATAATTGCAGCCCAAGGAAATTGGCCTTTTCTCTTCAGTAGCCACTTTCTAAAAACTTGTTCTGCTAATTTGGTCGGAAACACTTGCATATAGGAATTGACCATTTATAGCTAATTATATTGTTTGATTTAGTGGAAAAGGTTCTGCTCTCTAAGAGAGCACTAAAAGAATGCAAAAGGCAGCGAGGATTCGGTTGGGAGATCCAATTCCCCTTCACAAATACGTGCAGTAATTCGACATTAAAGCTTAATTAAGGCAACATTACCAAATGTTTAGCACATAAGGAGGACGCTGGGGTGAAAAAACAACCAAAAAAAAAAGAAGCTGTGCCACATCTGACATCCAGGTTTCAGCGGAGCAACAGTGAGAAGTGTTAAGTTGTAAAGGACAGCATGTACACCAGTGTTAATATGATTGGGAATTTCTGGTCAGCTGGTAGCCAAGCAGCTGATGAATGAGTCGCTGATGGTGAAGCATGAATGAGCAGCTGGTGCCAGTCAGTGAATGCAAGTACATTCAGTGCCCGAACTAATGCCTTGCTCTACGTGTTTATTGCTCTTTTGGACTTTATGTTTGACTCTTATGCATGGTCAGTCTTCACGGTAATCAGTCCTCGTAGACTTTGCTAAACCATAGCTCTGATTAACTCAATGCTTGCTTTATAAGTACAAATAGGCATACTGATGACCACACTATGGTTCTGTTGCTATTAAAAAAGTGCTGAATGTGTGGTTGCCATGTTATAACGCATACTCCTGTTTCTCCTGTGTTAAACTTGTAACTGCATAGGTTGTTTATATGCACCTTTGCAATTTAATTCTAATTTCCATGCATCTATGCACTCACTAATGAACAGAGTCGGTGTCTGAAACTCAGCACCCTGTGGGTTATCCAATAAATCAGTGATCTCGCTGTTTTTTTCTCTTCCCAACTGAGAAGTGCTTAAAAGCCACATTTGGACCAAATGCCTTTAGCTGTGATACTTAGTAAAATGTACTCTACATATACAAGCACAACAAGGAATCAAGACTGGTGTGGATTTCATGTAAAACACAGGTATTTATTGCTCATTTATTGCTTATGTGAGCATATTTTTTGTCTCTAGATGTTCGAGGAAGGATCGCTGCAAACGAGCAGAAGAGCCTCAGCGTTTCACCACCAGAGTCGAACAGTGTGTCCGACTTTCCATCCAGCCAGACACCGTCTCCGTCACCATGTCAGAAGTGCAGGTACAGCGCGCTGTCTGACCTTGTGTATCTGTTCAGCTACTCTATAGAGGCTTCGTGAATTTGTACGTGGTCCTTTATAAGACGAGTGGGGTAAAGATTAATGGTTGGGAAAAATGAATAAGGCAGATGTGAAATGAGACTAAATAAAGCTTGTTTTGTGTTGTAGCTAGAAGTCATTTTGAGTATGAGCTGAAAAGTGCGTTTTGAGCCACACGTCTGAGCAGCATTTTCTGCTTTGGGCCATTGCTAATGAAGTGTATTGATTTAAATTTCTGCTGTGTCTCATCTTTCTGCTTTCTGTCTTTTTTTCTCGCTAGCTTGTGCTTCAGACACAGAATGTGCCGAGTCTTTCTGCTGGAGTGAACTGCTCCTTTGAGGACTACGTAGAAACGGAAGGGCGCATCTACGGTGGACGCATCTATTGCCTGTCTCCTTCGACGAAAGAAATCGCCCCCATCACGCGAGACCAAGGTAGACAATAAGTCAGAAAAGATATGATGTTGGAGTTAACGTAGACTTCACAAATGTCTGGCTTTTGCTTTCAAAATGAAAGCCCAGATCATTTAAACAATAATCTTATTTATCTGTTAAAGTGAAAAAGAAATGTCATTTCATATCATAATTATCACATGAAGAAAACTGAGAACTTTTTAAAAGTAGATTCATTATTGGTGTCTGAGTCCAGCTATTTTTTTTGTAATGGAAAATGCCAGCTGGGAGTAGCTGCCTTAGGGTTTTTTTTCTTCCGCTGATGTACTTTGACACAGAATCTGGGCAGCAACACAAAAAAGGCTTTTATTCAGATGAAAAACAGACCTAGTTGTCACATTTCTTACCTTTTCAGCAAACTGCATCATGAAAATACAGCACTTGCATTTGAAACATAACAAATTTTTTGTCCCTCAGTGGTGACAGCAACATTCACGACCTCCTCCTCTTACAGCCAACCATATACTGTAAGCTAGCAAATTCAAAAACTGCTACTATTTTGACACTAGCTCCTGTTAGCTTGGGTTACAACTGTGTTAAACTATTCTGAGGCTACGTACGGGATTCATAGTAATAAAGTGCCCGTGTGAGCAGCTCTTGGCTTAACGTTTAACAAATGTAGCCTGGACATCCTTCCAAGCGAAAGGTTTTACTCTATTAAAAAAAGCTTTTTTATCAATATTTTTTTATCAGTAAGTGTAGAATTACATACAATATTCTGAACTGAAACAATGAGATGAAAAAATGCCACCCATCTTCTTCCGCTTTATCCGGGGCCGGGTCGC